AGAGGAAGAGAGGTAAGCATATCATGTACATGGGCCACAGATACCTTTTCAAAAAGAAAATGTACAGTTCTTAGACGCCATTATGTGCTCCTCAATCGGTGCTGTAACTCTGGAAATGTCTGGCTCAGCTCCCTGTGTTAGACGTGACACTTTATTTACAAAATACTCATTGAAATATTCGGCTATGTCGCTGGGCTTTGTTAGAAACTTGCCGTTAGTTTCTATGAAGGTTGGATTCCTGCTAGTGTTCCTACCCAATATGCTATTAATTACCTTCCAAAGCTCCTTGGTGTTACCGTCATTGCTGTGTTCTTCAAGTAATTGTTTGAAATGTGCTTTCTTCTTTTTTCTGTTCTCTCTTACGACGACATTTCTCAGTCTTTTATAGACCATGAGGTCTGATGTAAGACCTGATGTTTGAGCTTCCTTTTTAGCATCATCCCTCAGTAACATCAGCTCTCGGAGGTCACTGTCTACCCACTGGGCTGGCGATGACCTCAGTGAGCGTTTGCGAACTGGGGCGTGCTGGTCTGCTACTTGTGAGAACAATGTCATAAAACAATGTAGGGCATCATTTACATCATGCTCATTATAAACAAGGTGCCACGGGACAACAGCAATGTCTTGTAGGAAAACCTGTGGGATGAACTTCCTGTAGGAGCGTTTGACTGTAATGGTAGGCTGTCCTTTTGGAGGTTTAGTTTTCCTAGTTACATGCACTAGGTTGTGATCAGTGAACCCAAGTGGACAGGACTTGGCGCTCGTGAATAAGTCAGGTCTGTTTGTGAAAATCAGATCTATTAAAGACGATGTTACAGTGCCATTAACATTTGTACAGATTCCTGTGGGCTGCAGTTCCATTTTAATAAACCAAACTGTATTTGATGATTATAATACACATGGCGCTAAAATAGCAAGGCAAGACGGTATGTATTGTAACGTTACCGCTTCATTTGAATGTGAATTAAAGATTGAGTGAAAGGTTTATTGATGAAAGCAGCCATAGCTGAAATGCTTTTTTTATATACACAAGGTACTTGAAAAAGTACACTACTTGTCTATAAAATATTTTAACACAATTAAAAAAGGAAGGATTCTTAAAAATAGAACAGCCTGGTATAAACATGTATTTTCATTCATAAATCTTAATAATGAAGTAACGCTTAGTTACGCTTACTACTAAAAACGATGAAAGCATGTAATGTAATGTGAAGACCAAAATTTGTCTTGCATCTTGTTCGATACAATAATCAATAACATATTTCCCTCTTGAAACGAATGTACAGTCATATACCTCACTTTCTCTTTAAGTGTAGGGTAATGATAAATTATAGAATATAGCGTATTGCCACTATTGATAAATGACTAATAGAGTGGATTTCCGAAGACCATAGTCATATTCCTTCTCTTTGTTTGATATAAATGGAAACATTACCGCAGTTTAATTCGTCATCAGCACATGCCAAGAGGTCTGTTGAATCATGCGTCCTTGTCGTGAACATGTAACAATGCGCAAAGCCGTCGCACGTCTGTTCGGGTGAGTAGCACCGTGTCAGATTATCACACTGACACTTCCGTAATCCAACAGACTCGCAAAATGCATCTGTTTTGAAATGATATGTCAAGACTTCAGATCCATTGTAAAGCATCAAAAGAGAAAAAGAACAGAGCGAGGGACAGAGAGAATTGTGATTTATTTAGACTGGTTAAATCCATTTCATTAATTCATTTATTTTTTATTTCAGGTAAAAACATAAAACACAGTACATCGTTAGCATAATACAAAACTCATACAAAGAATACAGAGTCTTCCGACCTGACCTTCCACTTCCGACCTGACATTTCCGTCTTTGCAATGGTAATAAATACTTTTAAGGATTATGATAAATACAAATCTTCATGTGCTTGTTTTTTTACCATAGATTCCATTTAATTGTCCCTGCCCTGTGGACAGATCCTACATGTGGCCATGTCTGCAGACACTATTGACAGGAAGGGCATTAGATGTGAATATCTACCATTTGGATTAGGAAAGAAATAAAAGTGTTTTCGCTCCAGTCTTAGAGGTGTTCATGAGTTAGAGAGAGCTGGTAGATGTAATTAAGAAAAAAATCGCTGAATTTCGATCCCTCGAACCGTTCGAAAGTAACATCCATCTTTCATCCAATGATTAAACAAACTAATTTGTCCGCACTGCGACTTAAAAAATAAATACACAATGAAATTATAATCGCCTTTAACAATGTGTAGGCGCAACTAATAAATCTACATGCAAGAAAAACCATACTGACCACAGTTTTCTTCGTCCTTTCCATTTGAGCACTGAGGTATTGAATCACAAACGTAGACCTTCGGCAGACAAGTGTTTTCTCCAGGGCATTTCCACTCGTCATTTCCATTGCACGGGTGCGACAGTCCTGCAAGATCAAGACATTGTACACCTCGTTCTTAATCTATATTTGCCATGTTTATAATTCCTTAAATATTACCAATGTTGTTTTGTTACAAACAAGTGACAAAAGTATAACGCTTGATTGTAGTGACCCTCCCTCCCCCAACACACACAATATCATAGTTTGATTTTTTTTTTCACCTCATGGTGTCGCGTAATGCGCAACCCTCCCGATGGTAGAAGATACATAAAAATCATATGTGTAAAGGCCGTGTCAAGCATTAAAACGATATATCTTATTACCTCCATAGTAAAGCTATTACAGAGATGTATTCTCAAAAGACTCCTCCCTTCTATTACACCCGTAATTATCAACCAGTACGCCTATCTGAAGGGCTCCTCTACTGTCATCGCCGCCGTTAGAATGGTCCACACGTGGCTGACATCTCTTGACTCGCGAGATCAGAGAACAACTCAGGTCCTGTTCGCAGATATGAGTGAGGCTTTTGATAGAGTAAGCCACTCTTTACTACTCTGTGAACGACACAGTCACTAATCCACGCATGGTAGCCGGGATATACAACTATCTACAGGGGCGCAGGCAGGGGGTCCTCGTGAACGGCAAGGTCAGCAGTTGGCAGTTGCTCACGTCGGGGGTACCGCAAGGAGGGGTGTTGTCGCCCTACTTAGTCCTCTTGTACATGAGCTCCCGCGCCACAGTCTATAATGACACCCTAGATGTGGGGTATGCCGATGACGTTGGCATGTCCAGGTCAATCCCCTGTCGGTCATGTGGCGTAGACAACACTATGTCAGCAGAAGCGTTGCAACTCGACACGTGGGCTGGTCAAAATGATATGTTACTGAACGGGAAAAAGATCAAGAGTCATCAGTTGCAGATCTGCTTCAGTAGAAACACTCCTGTACCCCCACCCTTGTCTCTTGGAGGCGAACTTGTTCCTGTTACAACAACTGCAAAGGGCCTCGGGTTTACTTTTGACAGTACTTTATCCTGGCGAGCACATGTAAAGTCAGCAGTTTCCAAGGCAGTTTTCACTGTGCCAAAAGCCAGGACTGAGCGACTGAAAATGTCATTTGTTCACTGTGCGATAAAACTGTACAACGAGTCTGTTTCATAAGCTACCCCATGCTATATCTGCGTACAATTTCGTTATCCTTAAGCTTTATTTTACTGCTGTTTATTGTTCATCGATTGTATTGTATTATGTGTTGATTGTAACAAACTACCCACTTCAGGGAGACTTGTGTCTTTCCCTGCATATGTATGTTTGCGGTTGCAAAACCAATAAAGATGTCGTATGATATTTGGTATGCTGGTAAGTCTTAGGAAGACGAAGGTCAAGGTCAAGTATGGGCCTCCTGGTGGATGACCTTGGTACTGCAGCAGTACCTCCGGTTTTTTGTATCTTTTGTCCTGAACAAGCTATGGTCTTGACTTTTTGGTGACAGATAGTTTATCCTGTCTGGAATAAGGGGCGTAAGTTTGTTCCCCCTGGCAGCTTGTTCTGGAACTGCAGGTTAGTTTCTGGTAAAAACTTTCAAAGCCATTAAGTCCAGATTGGAACAACGTATTTTCATCATTTTTGGTGTGTAGGTACCTGAGGGAGATTTGTACATAATTAAATGCAAATTATACAAATGAGGACTTAATTTGCATAATTAATTAGCATAATCAATTCTATAATTATAGTGTTTTATATAATGGTACTGCTATACATGTAATCTATTTAATCTGTAGCAGGCGGAACATCGACAGATACCAATTATGCAAATGATGACCTAATTTCAATAGTTAATGTGAAAATTTTGTGACTCCTTATTGGTGAATGATGGGAATTTTATACCTCGTGACATGTGTAAGTTACTTAAAGGTTAGCACCACTATACATATATTATGTTAATGTAGAGGTTATTTGCATAATTACCTCTAATTGAGAACATGTTGAAATGAAGTATGAGAAAGCAAGCCCATATTTCATAGAGGTATGAGATCTCAGAACTCTTGTTATATGTATTGATTTTTGTTTAGTGGTGTCATCCATATAAGCTAGAGCTTGAGTGCGGCACCACTACGTATTGTTCCTTTTTTTAAATGTTGTAATGAATTTCATTTCATAGGGACTAAACTACCGAAATATCAACTGATATTTGAACTCTCATTGTTATGCAAACGGCATTCTACTACAAAATGATTTCCATGGTCTAGGGTGGATGGATGGATGGATGGATGGATGGATGGATGGATGGATGGATGGATGGATGGATGGATGGATGGATGGATGGATGGATGGATGGATGGATGAATGGATGGATGGATGGATGTAAGGGTAAAGTTTAAAAAAATATTAAGATCTTAAAGGCACCTTGGCTACAGTCCATTTCGTCGTAAAGGCCGGGTACGAACATGTCATTTACTCCATCGCATGTAAAGTCAATTGAAATGCATCCGGCATGAACGAATGGAAATTTATCAAAATATTCCTCTTCCCCGGTAGGAGCGTGACCAAAGAATCCCATTCCATCGTAACCACAGTACCCTGTTCAGAAAGATAAAAAAAAGGGAAATCAAAATAAATCCAGAGCATGTTGGTTTTACCTTATTCCAAAATATGAAATATTATCTTATAGCCGGGCGACGTCGACCAATAACAAGCCTCCGTTTCCTATTGGATATCAGTTATTAAGATAACCGTCTCACGATAACGATAGTAAGAGAGAATGGTTTATTCAAAAAATAAAAACCTTCGCAGCACCAGTGCTGAATTGCGGTTGTTTTTGTACACAAAAGTCACAAACACGTCCTTCGTTAGAAATTAAACATTGTAAATTACACATTACAAATATGAGTCTAAAACTAGTATCTCGACTTGTAGCCTTAAGACTTTTATTATTTTGCTATTAAAGTATTGTAGTTTATGATATAAATGATATAAATGAAATTTAAACAGAAAAAGACTAAACATAATTTTTAACACCGCGTTTACGTGTTATAAAAGCATTTGTGTAAAAAAAACTGTGATTTGAATAGGCTATATGATAATAACGTTAATGCCCCGCATTATCCCCGGTGTGTATGGTGAGATTATTTGTATAGCCGGTATAACCGCCCTTCGGCGTAACACACCAGCTTCGCAGGCACGCGGCGCGGCGGCAGCTAGCTATATCACACCGAACGACTTGTTACACTCAATCTTTGCACATTTGATTGCAGGAGTTGTTTAAAGTTTTCTAGTGATGATGCCCCAACTGAGCTTGGTGGCAACGAGTTCCAGTCTACGATAGTTCTGGGGAAATACGAGTTTTTGAATACCTCAATTCTTGGTTGATAACTCTGATATTTGAAGGCATGACTGTGTTAGAGTGTTCTTTTCCGATTGAAGAAGAGGAGACTCAGATTGCAAGTTGCCAGGCTTTATTTTCACGTCCCACCTCTCAAGAACCCCGACACTCAAATTCAACCCCTCTGGAATGCCTTCTCTGACCTAGATCCCACTGTCAGGGCTTATCCGTTACTTACCAGGGGAGGGTATAGACCTACTGGCTTGCTTTTCGCTAGCATGTAACAGACTGTTTCTTGTTCTTTTCTGGGCTGGTATCAGATACTTAGTGATTGGTACGTCCACCAGTTTATTAGTCATTTTGCACATTCTACGTCTGTCTTCCAGCGACCCCCACTGTAGGTTTCTTTTCATTTCCGTTACACTAGCACCGTTCCGTTTGATAGTCCTTGATAGAATCTAGCAGCTTGGTTCTGTACCCTTTCCAGTCTATCTTTGTCTTTCTTTGTAAATGGATCCCTGTATATGGATTATGACCTGCGTAACAGAGTACACACAGTAGTTTTGAACATGCTGAAAACCACGCTACGTCCTGAGCAGTTAATTTGCCCGTCCCGCCGTATGAAAGAAATGTCAATACGTATCGGATATGGAATCGGATATTTCAAGATCGGGATGTACCAATGGCATCTTACTAAATATACAAACATTGAGCAGACAATCCCGAAGACTTTCGGTAGATTCTTACTGCTCAAATCATTATGCTATTAACAACTTTATGCCCAAAATCCCCATACAAGAACAATTGGCGTTATATTGTTGCACTTGAAAAAAGCTTTTTATCTAATAAAAAAAACATTCTGACCAAGAATTTGATAATGTGTTAATTGGCTCTTTCTAATATGTTTTGTTGAAAACTAGAGGATGGTGTTAAAATGATTTCTTTAGTTTAAAACAAACAGCAAAAAATATTCCCAAAATGTTGAGAGGTTAGCGGCATCTACTGTTTCAGTTCAATTCTACAACATTAGTGTCCTATTTATCATGCGCAGTCCTCGGTCCTCCGGAATGAGTGATGGGGAAACTGCCGTCTGGAGCCTAAAGTATCATAAAGGTCATGGCCGAAAATGTCAGGTGGGTCGCTTTAGGCTCCGTCTGGCGGGCGGAGAACCTCTGAACTGCTCACTTCCTCCGCTTCACATATATAGAGTGAGATCATCACGTCATTCCTCTGGACCAATCACTGCGCATGATAATTATACAAGTTTCTTGATCAGAAATCAGCTTACCACAACCCGTTTCATCAGAGGTGTCTAAGCAGTCCACGTAGCCATTGCATCTCTCTTGTCGACTGATGCACTTTGGAAAAGGAGGTACTGAGGATCTACACGGCCAGTATCCAATAGACTCACACACATCATCTTGAGTTTGTAGGGAGACAAACAAATCGAGATGAACTGGGAGTATTCATAAAGTGTAACTTATTTCGACGCTCTGAAAGCTATTATTATTTAAGCATTCAAATTCTATCAAGTACATTTTTTATAAGTCACGATTGTGAAAATTCTGCCAGATGTCCGAACAGCATATTATATTGTACTGTTAATTCAGGAATTATTATGCTCGCATTACGCCACGAGAGCAACGTTTTCTCCTATGCTTGTACAGAAACTGTAGCAACTACATACCTGTATACTGGATCACTTGTGTCGAGCAAAATTGTTGGTCTTTTGGTTAACATTATTTTTCTTTGGTTGTTCCAATTCTTTTCCGATATCGATTGTCTTCCATTTTCTATCAAATGATCACCCCTATCACATTGTTCTACTCTGCATCTGACATGATTAACTTAATCTCCTGTTTCGTTCTGTAGCATGCAGCAAAGAATGGCAAGGTGAAAAATGCCTCTCTTCCTGAGGGGTCGCCGAAAATGAATCTTACCACAGTTTTCTTCGTCCGAGCCGTCTTCACAGTCAGGAAGGCCGTTACACAGAGATTCTCCTTTTATACAACCTGAGGAATCTCGGCACTTCCAGAAAGCAGTGTCGCCGAACAAACCATGAAGGGAGCAGAATTCGTCTGTCCAAGGTAGAAATGTCATTGAAAGAGAAACCATTTGAGACGAGTAAATTGTGTCCGTTCTCGAACATAGCTTCTAACGCTTAAGCTGCATATCCGACGTACGTGTTCACAATTCACGACTGAGCTCAACTGGGTAATGATAACAATGATTCAAAATCATATGCAGTTGCTTGAGTAACTGTTTTTTGGCGTATCGTATTACCTGGATGTCTAACCTTCATCGACGTAATGATAACAATGGTAACCAAAAGTTTCATCGATCTCAATAGCAGCATCCATCACCATCAGTAGTTTTCGTCACTCATATATCATTACGATGTTATCCATACTAAATAAAGAGTTATATATAACGTTCCCACCACATCTGATCTCATCAGAGCCGTCTGAACAGTCCCTCTCGCCATCACAAACTTTCGTGATCTTCACACAGCCCTTCAAATCACGGCACTGGGCTTGGTTCCGCCGAAGAGATAAACCTCGTTCTTCTAACTCAAAGCAGCTGTCTGAAAATTCAACCCACACAACTTATAAGTGCCATTTCTTGGAGACAGTTGTTCCTACGTGTATAAGTTTGTCACGGGGGACGATATTGACTTCTCCACTACCACTGATGACATCAACATGTCTGAAACAGAATTTGCTGTATTGTCATCACGTCAGTGTTGTATATCCACCTACATAGGCCCATGTACTTTATTTAAAAAGAGAGATCAAATCATCCATAAATAAGGTTAATGTAAATTTCTGTCTGCGTATTTGTGCGTTGTAATGCTGTTTGCCCTATATTGGACACCGACTTGATACAAAACCTAAAATAAACTATAAAGTTTAAAAAATTCATTATACATGACTGTATACTGTTATCGACAAAGAAATAATTGTAATTGTATAATTGATGGGTATTGTAGCATTGTTGCTTGCTGCCATATATTTTACCATGATAGATTGTCAATCAGTAAATTTTACTAAGTTTTAGTCTGTCTATAAAAGTCACATATCCTGAGCAATTGAGTCAGCTTTGTTAAAAAAGGTTACTAAATAAAGAATATAACTAAGCAAAAAAGGTGAACTGATTATACTCTCTTTGACCTTTTTGAAGGTCAAGTGCAGCAAGCCACGAACCAAACGCAGACCATTAAAGTAACCAGGAGACTTTAACGCAAAGAACAGCATCTGGTTATGCTTAGGTCACAATTCAAGAAAGGGGCCCGCTCGGCGCGTGTTCGGCGTGTTTTTTTGCACTACCGAACGGGACCTGGACGGAGACCGGCGGGCTTCCCGACGGCTGCCGGCCTATTTTTGGCCCCGCGCGGTCGCCGAATCGATTTTAACTCAGAGTTAAAATCACTTCGGGCCCCGTTCGGCGAAATACGCCGAAGAGACGCCGTAACCTCACTGCCCGGAGCCCATCGGGTGGCCGAACAGACACCTGCCTAAGATTATGACGTCACACATGTGCTGATAAGTGCATAATGTGGTAAGAAAAATGGGGTTATATGGGACATATGTAAACTCCTTGTTCAGACTACGTCGGACAGTTCAACACGCGTGTGTTACACCGTGTACTTATGTGTGTTACACCGTATACTTGTGTGTCAGAATGCCGATGGGCAGTGGAAAACAGCCGAGACCGGATAGCCATGTGGGCTACCCTTAAGGGAAACTCCAAGGATCGGTAGCTGTTCCCGGTCGCCAGGAAACGTAGGGTAATGGCGAGTTTTAGGCCTGCTGGCAAGGGCTGTCTGGCTCTGGATAGAATTAAACAGAAGTGTTACATACAGACTGGACTGTAATATCTAAATTTGCTGTTGTTATTATATAACATTATGGATACATTGAAATGTGTCAAGAAGTAGATGGCATTCATCAAAAAAGCACTTGCTCCGGACTTTTCTCGATGGATGGACCTACACGTTCTAGGGGGTCGTGAAACATCTACAGTATTTAAAGTCGCAATGATGGCAGGCAGTGTAGCGCTTATATATATATATATATATATACTTACAAACACGACGGGATCCCGCCAGGGACGCGCCGGCTTACAAACACACGGGATCCCGCCAGGGACCTGACAGCTACCCGGCCGAACTGTAAGAGCCGGTCGGAACCCTACCGCAAGCCGCACGGGTCAAGACGGGAGACTGATCGGGCACCGGACGGGTCCCTGACAGAAACCGGCCGCCAAGGAGACCAAAAGTTTATGAATATTAATTAGAAGCCACCGGCCGGAGCACAACCAGGCCCCGACAGGGAGCCGTAAAGGAACATTTAATTGTGACCCTGGCAGTCGGCGCACGCTCGGCGTCATGACGCCGGCCGGCGTCTACACCGAGGACATGCCGAACGGGCGCCGTTTCAAATGTGACCTAAGCATTAGACAGCAACACGACTGCAACCCGGGACGTCAACTTGAAAATCTTTTCTTGAATCATGGACTGGAACATGCACTTCATGAACCGACTCGGGGAGGGAACTTGCTGGACCTGATAGCGACTTCTCATCCAGCAAAGTGTTACCAGACGGGCACACTAGCTCCTCTTGTCGACTTATTAACAGCCACTGCGCTTACCATAAGGGTAAATCACTTCTGCGGAAAACGCCTCGTCTGGTTACATGACCAAGCTGACATTGAGGCCCTTCATCAAGACATCGCAACAGCCCCATGGGACATAAATCTTATCTTCGACTCTATTGATGACATATAGGATTCTTGGTACAACATGTTTATTGTCATATGCGAACGGTACATCCCTCGCAAGCTTATCACAACTTCTCGGACGACTAAGCCGTGAATATACTCCAAAAAACAAATCCGAGCCGCTATCCAGGGCAAAATGGGTAAACACCGAGGACAAGGAAGTGATCAATCTCACAAGAAGGGCGGAAACAGTATATGTTGAGGATCTCGTGCACGACTTGGAGACCGATCATCGAGATGTGATGATAACGTATAACATAATCTATACTAAATATGGCTTTCTCAACTCAAACAAGAGTTCTGCGATCTCATACCTTCGCCAAGTGATGTTAACCCTTGCGGTTGACGAATTATACAATTTAATCATCGATTTTGTAAATAAGAGCCTCATTTGCGTGGATTATATCAGTTGATCATATTCGATCTCCACCCAATGACAGCCTTATTTTAACAAAAAAGCTAGTATTGCACTTCCTCATCAATTATGCAAATGAGGTCATGATTGTAATAAATTATGTTTATTGATGTTCAGCTTCACTTCCAAATGTGGCAGGTATGAAATTCTCAACAGTTATAACCATGAAATTATAAAAATTTGCCATTAATTATGCGAATTAGGTCCTCATTTACATAATCTATATCCTCAGGTGTTTTATCTTGTTCTCAAGTAGATGTCACAAGTGTTTCATAGTTCTATTATCGAACAAAGCAGATTTATAGAATTTCCTCATTAATTATGCAAATTAGCCCCTGATTTGCATAATTGTAATCTGATTATGTCAAGCATCACTTCAACTACCTACATACTAAAGATCATGACAATCCGTCAACCGGTTCTTGAGTTATCATCCTTCGAAATTTTTTCAACAAATGCTCCTGCACTTCCAGGACAAGCCGCTAGGGGACCCAAACTCATGTCACTTCTTTCCTACTCCAAGAACTATCTACCAACCAAAATTCGTGACCCTAGCATGTCCAAATCACGAGATATCAAAACCGGAAGTTCTGCTGCAGTACCAAGGAAAGCCGCCAGGGGGCCCAAAATCTAATCATTTCTAGGTCTCATGAAGACCTACATACCTACCAAGCCTGGGTACCATCCCCAGTAGTATATTCGCCAACTCTATAACTGGGTCTAGACTTGAACACATATGAAACGATTGGTGATGACGTCACGTAATGAGCTAGCCAGAGCAGCGGGTCTTCATTTGATTGGCTGACCCTCAGAGGCGACGGCCAATGGCGCGCCTGCATTATTCAAGTGATGTTTGTTATTTTGTAAACACAGATCTTCGCGCGAGTGTTCCTTTTCTCGGTGCGTTCTATTTTTGCGAGGTCAACATCAAGCTCCGAGAGCTGAGCGGCGTGTGCGCCAGCCATGTTGATGATCGATCGCGGAAAGTACACTGACTACGGCTATATCAAGCGCGCTTTAGCGTTCGGCGTCGGACATGTTGATGATAATAAGATAAGAATAACGATCTATCTTAACGTAGCCGTTCGGACGTTCGAACGGACGCTAACGTCGCCGTTCGGACGTCCGAACGGCCCTTACCTAATATGTACACACCCAAAAAAGGGCTTAGACGAGTAGGACCAATCAGCGCGCTCGTTCAAAATCTGAACGAATATTTAGACTCCAGACGCTACATATGTGTTCAAGTCCAGACCCAGTTATAGAGTTGGCGAATATACTACTGGGGATGGTACCCAGGCTAGTTCCACGTGCCATAGATTACATACATTACATGTATCAAGGCCCTCGCCAGTCAAGTAGGCACCCAGCCAAGATCCTAAACGATCTAAATTTCGCTGACGACATCGCTCTGCTTGAGGCATCAATACCTAAGGCGCAATCACAACTCAATAGAACGGCTACTGCAGGAGAACAACTAGGTCTTGTCATAAGTGTTCCTAAGACCGAATACATGACCATCAACTGCAATCCACAGCCGCCACTGGAAGTGTATGGTCAGCCCATCAAACATGTAACAGACTTCAGATATCTAGGATCAATGATGGCATCCAGTAAGACCGACCTGGCCAGGCGGAAGGCACTCGCTTGGACCGCTTTCTGGAAACTTCAAAAGATCTGGAGAAATCCGACGTTCCCCACTGCCACAAAGATCAAGCTCTTTAATGTAACCTGTGTGTCGGTGTTCTTGTACGGTTGCGAAACCTGGGTGCTAACACGTGACATGGAGGACAAGATTAACTCATTTGCTACATCTTGCCTCAGAATCATGCTGAACATCAAACGTATACGCCAAAAAACAGTTACTCAAGCAACTGGATATGATTTTGAAAACGTCAGACGTTTCAGCTAGTATCCACTAGCTTTCGTCAGTGACTGAGAGACCAGAGGGGAAAGCAGGTTTTTAAGTACAACCTGTTTATTGATATGCAAATAAAGTGAAGACAAATTTTTGGAAGTCGAAAAAGGAACAAAAGTTAGACAAGTCAAGACAAAATGATGCAAATTAGTCTGACAGCTCCTGTTATACAGAACAGGAGCTTAAGTGTTGTCTGTCCTCGGGGCTGGGAGTGCCAAATCCCAAGTGCCGGAAAGATCGACTCGTAGCCCCCCTTCCCTGTTGAGGGTGGGGTTGTACATTCTTTCATATATTGCCTCTTTGACACCCCGTTCCCACCAGCGTGTTTCGCGGTCTAAGATATCTGTGGACTCGAGTTTGAAAGAGTGACCCTGGTTGTGTTGTAGGTGGTGGAAAATAGCTGAGGAGTAGCCGTTGGCACTAGGTCGGCAATGTTCTTTGTATCTTACTTTGAGCGGTCGACTTGTCTCTCCAATGTAGGTGTTGTTACAATTGGGCTCCTCACATTTGAGTCTGTAAATAACATTCGCCTTGGTACCTTTGTGAGGTCGGTCCTTAGGGTGTACCAGTCTTTGTCTGAGGGTTGAGTGAGGTTTGAAGTTAGTGGCTATGTTGAAGTTTTGGAAGATCCGTCGGAGTTTCTCAGATACTCCTTGGACATACGGAATAGTGATGTTGGCCTTGTTTTTGTTGGTCAATGGTTTGCACTTCTGGGTTTTCTTAGACTGATCTGAAGGTTTGAGCGCTTTGTTGAAAGTCCAGTTTTGGTAGCCACATTTAGCCAGGGCACCTCGGAGGTAGCTGAAACGTCTGACGTTTTCAAAATCATATCCAGTTGCTTGAGTAACTGTTTTTTGGCGTATCGTATTACCTGGATGTCTAACCTTCATCGACGTATCAAACGTATAGACCACGTAAGCAACCGTGAAATGTACAAAGCCACAAACACACAACCTCTGATCTTCAGAGTGAGGCAGCGGCAACTGCGCTTTATTGGACATACCCTGAGGATGCCAGTAGAGGAGCCACTCAGGTCTTACGCCCTCTACGTCCCACCTCACGGCAGAAGGCGTCCTGGGCGCCAGAGGATGAGCTACCTGACTTACATCCAGAACATGCTGGGGGACACGGAAGGTGACCTGAGCCCTGACAACATTGCTGCGCTGGCTGCTGACCGGCGGTCGTGGAATGGACTTGTGATCGCCTGCGTTGCAGCCGACCGATGATGATGATGATAATGTAGAATGATGTTTTTTTTATTTCCTCATTAATTATGCAAATTAATGACAAAATCTATAATTCCATAATGATAACTGCCGGGAATTTCATGCTTAGGGCGTTTGAAAGTTAATTGAAGTTGAACATTATCAAACATTACCTATGCAAATAAGAACCTCATTTGCATAATTCATTAGGAAATGCTAGAATAGACCAATTCGACTTTCACGGATCGCATAAACTGCTTACGTCACAGGGGGGACATTTCGAAAGAACGTCGTTCTAGAACGCTGAAGTCGAACGTGGCTTGCGCTCGTGGTGTCCCCCTGGCAGATCATTTTTTACTAAAAGGTAGGTAAGTGTCTATTTTCTCGATAATATATGCGGAAATGACAGAAAAACAGGCAGCAACTTTGTATGGTGGCATTCCGTACAACATTTAAGGTTACTTTGTTCTGTGACGTATGCGGTTTATGCGATCCGTGAAAGGACTTTCGAAATGCCCCCATCTCTGTGACGTAGTTTCTATTCGAAAGGCCCCCTATGACGTAGTTTCTATTCGACATGCCCCCCTGTGACGTAGTTTCTATTCGACATGCCCCCCTGTGACGTAGTTTCTATTCGACATGCCCCCCTGTGACGTAGTTTCTATTCGACATGCCCCCCTGTGACGTAGTTTCTATTCGAAATGTCCCCCTGTGACGTAAGCAGTTTGTGCGATCCGTGAAAGTCGAATGGGTCTATTGCATTCTTTCTTAAGATAAGACTGTCTTTTAGTATAGAATATAATCAACTGATATAATTCATGCAAATGATGATCCTATTTGTATAATCAGGGGAATGATCTAAAATTTGTCTTTAAAAAATTAACGGTGCACAGACCAATTCTTCCGCGACAGGGGTCCAATGTAGTGCCCGGAGAAAAAGTGACAAAGGGGTTCCGATGGTTCATGTTTGAGTTTACATTTCTCATAATCTGCTGCAGAATGGTATTAACTACTAACATGGCTTGATAGTGTAAGAAGTGGTATGTTTTGGGTGAAAATTGATTTCGGGTCCGAGGCTTACTTCCGGGTGTCCTTCCGCCTCGAGCGCGGTGCTTCGGTTTTACCTGGATATGCCTTGTATGCGTTCTGGGGGTGCTGTCGTTATGCCTCGCGCGACGGGCTATTGTGATAATCTCAGTGTTAGGATTTTCTTTATACTTAAAATAATACACAAGGGTTTTCTCTTTCCGACCATATAAGTCATATTGGTGGCTAAATTCTGGGTTATGGTTCTAATTCCACGTGAAAATGGCCAATTTTCGGCATCATTTTTCATCGAAAAATTCTTTTTCCCCCTAAAATGTACTTCCGTACACACTGGTTCCCCACTCCTTTCGGAGTAAAGCAAGGGGACGTACTATCTCCTACATTGTTTGCTATGTATGTTAATGACCTTGCTCAAAAGGTCAAAGAATCTGGGTTGGGAGTCAGGTTTGATGAGAAGACTCTAAGTCTGCTGCTGTATGCAGACGATATCATTATATTGGCAGATAATGAAAGCGAACTACAGGAACTGCTAAACATTGTTAATGACTGGTGTTCTAAGTGGCGGCTCATGATCAATCAAGAAAAAACACAAATAATGCATTTCAGGCAAAAAGGAGTAAGAAGGACTTCCCATGAATTTAGATTTGGAAATTTAAAACTTGATTATGTGAGCAGTTACAAATATTTAGGACTCTTCTTAGATGAACACCTGTCTTTTGAGCAAGAACATGTTTATCTTAACAAATTGAGGGGTGACATTAGGCAAATTAAAGGGAAGTTTTTTGACTTATACAAACAAGACTGGGCATCCAAAGTACATTTGAAACCTAAACTTAGAACATATGCTCTGTTTAAAGATACTTACTGTATAGAAAAATATGTAACTATGTGTCTCCCCAAACGCCAAAAGATCACTGTGTGCGCAGCTGCGAGCTGGTATTTTACCTATCAATATTGAAACTGGACGGTACCAGGGAATTCCTGAGGAAAATAGAATCTGTACCATGTGTGACCTGGATGAAGTAGAAAACGAAACACATTTTCTTTTTTACTGTCCCTTTTATAACGATCTTCGAGAAAATATGTTTCGTAAAATTTATACAAAATCACATGACATCATATGGGAAAGAGATGAAAATAGAATTAAGTGGCTCTTTAACGAGGGTGTATCTGACCTAGCAACTTTCATTTATCGAGCGTGGGGGAAAAGAAGAAAATACCTGTATTCATAACACATCAACAGTTGTCACTTTTTGTTACTTCTGCATGTTTGTTTTCTCTTATTATGTTTGGTTTACCTTATGTACTTGTATTTATTTTGTGAAATCTTGGTTCATTATGTACAGATTTGTTTATTTGCATTTACGATCTGTTATGAGTTCACTTATTTGTTCTCCATTATATAGCCTACCTTTATTTTTGTTCATATTTTGTTTGGATTTTGTTATCTGTACCTTTGATTCTCTTTTGTTTATGTATAACTTATTGAATCGGTGTCGTATAAGCCCACGCGGGCTGGGCGCGGGATAGCGCACGACACGGAAATAAAGTCTCATTCATCCATTCATTCATTCATTCATTCATTCATTCATTCATTCATTCATTCATTGTACTAAAATGTGAGAGGTGAAAGAAATTGAAATTCTATTGTTCTCGCAGCTAGAGGGATATACTTCATTTGCAAACACAGTGTTTTAGCTTAAGAAGTATTTTTTTAAAGAGACGGTGGCTAGAGTTGAGGGTATGCAGAATCGAATTGAGACCCAAAATAAACTGGGGTGTGCCCCCTTAACATCATTTGGCGAAGGTATGGGATCGTGGAACTCTAGTTTCATCTTATTTTGGTCAGAGAGCGAAAAAAGGAAATTCCTGTTCCCTCGGCCTTTTACAGATGAAAACCCAAACCTCGACAGTCCCTCTCGTCTTCCTTGTCTTCTCCACAGTTCCAGTCCCCGTCGCACACACGACTGGGGCTGTAGCAGCCCGCAGCTCCGTCACACAGCCGTCTGTTTTTCTCCGAGCAGGCGGCAAACCCTGGTAGCAACACAGCAGTTGTTAAACTTTTATTACTCCAAGGAATTTCTAGAGCATTGAAATTTGCCATTTTGTTTCCTTGTTTATGTAACCAGTGTCTCTACTAATGGTGTTGTTCCAATCAAACTGGCCTATATATATTAACTGTACATACTCTACGCGTATTGTCACACAAGTATTGAAATTCCCATTATTCACCGAAAACGACTCGTGCCCTTTTTGTATTCATTATTCAAATGCTGTTAAATCAATGAGTTCGGCAATGTTGCGAAGACAGAATGATTCGTTGAAAACATTCACAAAATTATTTCAAGTTTTAGCTTATACAACGCAACCGCACGGAGAAGTCGGGACTTTGATCAGAACCTAACGATTTGACAAGTATTATCACAATTCTTCTTGACCTTCTTGTGTTATACTGACCACAAACAGATACAGATGTACAGGGGCACACTCAGACCAATAACTCCATCACCATGAGCTTATTAGCGTCAGTGTTGTTTCAGTAACATTGGGAAATGCTAATCCACAGACCTTATGGAACAACGACAGTGTGTTTAACTTACAGCAGTTTCGTTCGTCACTGCCATCATCCTCCCCACAGTCCACTACGCCGTCACACACACTGCAATCTGGGATACATTTTCCACTGTGAGGGCAAATGATCTCGTCCTCTGCACATAGACGTTTTTCTGATATATAAATCAGAAGGTTACATATTGTAGATATGTATTGTTACAATAAGTAACAATACATTGTTCAACGTAGCAGAGTAGTAATCATAGGATGTCATGTTTTTATTTCACTCTTTCGTAACGATCTTACACAAATGGCAAATAAAGACGCTGTAAATGACGAAGCAAGATTTTACGAGAACCATCGGTTGATCAGACAGACTAGGGTTACCCTTTTGGATTGCGTAGCACTCTGAGTGTCCTTTCAAGCCCACTTGGCACATTTCCTTGCCAGTAGGCAATGGTAGAATTTTTGCAAATACACGGTTGTTTAAATCCACACCCCAGACGATACCGTCTCCTGCCTCCACCTGCTGCAGAGTTACTCCTGGTACACGCACCCAGCCTTCACCAGGGGAGGTTTCGTTCCAAAATGTCCCCGCTCTGTGGTACACATCGCCCTCCCTGTCGACAGCCCAAACTCCGACACGCCCAACCGATATAGACTGTAAGCAGCCATCAGTTGATTCCCAGTCGTACTTCACTATACGAAATAAAGTTTAAAATAATGTGGGTGTCTCAACACTAGATAGGTGAGCAACCTACGGGGGAGTGAGCAACCTTTGGTTATGCAGACGCATCTAGGAATGCATCTCTAAGAGAATAGTTCCACGAACTACTACCTTCACCAAATAGGGTTAACCTCAATGACAGATGTAACATGAATGTTACTCATTGATTATGCAGATAATGTACTCATTTGCATGAGTTCCATACAATTATGATCTTCTCTAAAAATACAATTGGCAAAAGTCGTGTAAAGTTTGTGATTCTGTTGGAGCATTTTCTATTCTATGAAACAAATGATTCCCTGATTTACATAGTTTTTATCTAATGATGTACTCTTTTTACTTGAGTTTATTTAGAACTTCCACCTTTTATTTACCACCTTGGAGGTAAGGTATTTTCTTGTCAGATATGCAAATAAGGCTTTTATTTGCATAACCATTATCTTTTGTTATTTCTGTGTTAGCCACATGTCACCTGTTTGAAATACCCGTGATGGAATGCAAGGAATTTGTAAGAAATAAATAAAATAGCTATCTTCTGATGTTTTTTTTTATATTCCAACATTTCATGACATGGTTACGGCACACTCAAGTTACATCAACTTATTTTATGCCGCTACCAACGCAGAGGACGAATACAGGACAAGACAGTACTCATTTTTACTTCTTTAAATGAGGAAAGTCGTGTAAAATGCCTTTCCCAAGGGTACAAGATCAGTGGCATGTCAGGACTCGAACCCCGGACCTCTTGGTTTCGAGTCGAGCACTCTACCTCTACACGACACGACCCAAATATTCTGATTTGCATAAATAGCATGATTGTGTTTATTTCAATGATTACTTAAGCTATTTATAGTGATGTCATGCTTGACCATTGAACAGCTATAATTTCTTTGGCCCGTTTGAGTTGGCCCGTATTGCCGGTAAGTTTCAGGCTCGAAATCACGAAAATCCCACGTGACATGTGTAGGGCAGCCAATCAGGAAGCAAAGAGTGCACAACAGGACATTCCTAACACTTTTCTCGCCACGCCTTTCCAGTTCACAGTTAATAAGGTCATGATGATCTTCCAGAAAAGCTACTAGGGGACCTAAACACATATTACTTTTTACTAGCCCTAGGGCTATTTGAACAATTATGACGAATTACGGGACGCAATGCCATTTAAAAGCATCCACGGCGCTAATAATTTCTATAGTTTGCCAAAAAACTTATATACATACCAAATATCCTCACAAAATTCACACAAAAAATTCACAAAAAAACCATAACCTTATTACGTTAGTATTTACAATGCATTCTTTTGTAAAGGTGCTAATATATAAATGTGGTGTATCTTACTCGTGATTTCACAGTAGAAAGGTGAACGCCACACTCTATGGCCCAATTCAACCGCCCACAGCTGCCCAGTTCTAGAGCTGACGCTGACTTGCTTTATATTTGCTGCTCCGACAGTCTCCCATGTCTTCCCTTCTGGTGTTCCTGGACTTATTCCTGCCAATATAGATTAGGAAAGTGAACTAGGGGCTACTGAACTCGTGCCTTATCTTTGTGTATCACTATTGCAATTTGTTTTGGAACCTGTAACGGAGGACACTATAGTTGGGCACCAGCAATTCTAAATGCCCCTGATCACCCTGCAGGCGGATGAAAAAACAATTTAAAAAAACACAACAATCATCGACCTCCTCTCCAGTTATCCTTATCTGAATGTCATGATAGTAACAAGAATTCTAAGATCTCAGACCTCCATTTCTATACTACTACCTGTGGGGCATGTTATACTTGTAGTTTATTAGTACCTTTTCTGACTATGGCTTCTCCTTGCTTATATGAAAAGTCGGTTCCAATGACCCAGACAAAATTCTTTCCGGAATGTAGCCAGTCTATCTCTACAGGCACACGAGAGGTCTCCACAGCCAGCTTCTCGAAGTTAAAAAGATAATTGTTGACACTGTCGATCTGTACTGGTCGCCAACCGAGGCCAGCTGTTTCCTTGTTCCTGTAAACAACAAAACTGTGTTACTTTGCAACAAGTAACACCAAACGTTCATAATGCCACCGGGTTAAATGGTGCTATTAAGACCTTCTCAAGAGTAATGGTACATTTAGTAAGTAGCGGTGTCAGGGTATCGGAATTATGAGAGTTGATCTTAAATACGGCGACAAAGTTGTCGCTTGTGAAAAGGTGGCGCATGAAAACAGATGCTGCTGCTTGTAAAGATTGTGTTGTCGTATAGTCGCAGATTGAATTAATGTTGCGATAGTTATATATGTGTCCTGCAAAATTCAGCTACCTTGTTAAAAAGTTTGTATTGAATCCTAGTCTGTGCAGCAAAGTAATTCAAACCGTAACATTTTCAGGTAATGTAGAGATACCTCTGATGTCCACTCAGTGTGGTTACCAGGCTGAGTAGCTAGATTGATGCTCTGCTCAAAAAAGAGGCGGATTCCGAGAAGAGAAAAGAAAAGAGGCGGATTCGGAAAAAACAGCTCTGCAACAGACCTGAGTCAGATATACCCTATGTGTCAGACACTGCCAATCTCGTATAGGACTGTTCAGCCACAGCCGATGCAATCATTTTTCAAGTTTACCATGGTCAATATACATGTATTGAGTGAAGGAGGCCATACGCTGGTTACTAGACTAACGATGGACGTGACCAGACTGATACTCACCCGTACGTCCCTACACGGTACATGACAGTAGAGTGGTTATAGACTGCCCACACTCCAACACGTCCTACTGAAATCTGCAGAAAGCGTTCTATACCGACTACTTCCCATCCGGTTCCTAGAAAGTAACATTTAGAATTTCACTTTATTGTGCCTTCACCAAATAATCTTAATCTTATCTACTGTGGAACTATATATATTTCGTATTATTCATATATACAAAACGTTTCTAATTTGCATGTATTATAAAAAAGTTAAGAAAAAAAGCTGAGCCCAAAATCTGCCAACAAACTGAAATCCGTTGATAGCCCCTTGAGTAACCCTGTTTCCACGATAGCAAGGTCATTTGATGTGACTTAAAATGAAACTTGAAATATTACTGGCTGCTCTTATAAACCTTTGTGGATTTACATGTGTACTTCTATGTGCTTTTTTTTTACTTCCACGAATAATGGCGGTACTGCTGCCGCTAAAATGGAAGTATTGTTTTGGGAATGTGTGTGTGTTTCCGCATATTCGGGTCAGCCTTACTTCAGATGGATTGTGATGATATTAGCTATGTGGCAGAAAGAGCGCAGCTGTGAGGCCAGGTGTTTACCTTGAGGAACCATTTTGGTAACCCCCGTGCGGCGCAGCGGTCTGCCTTCGTCATCCAGAGCCCAAACCTGATTGGTTGAGGAACTGATGCTGATCTGTTTGATTTTTCCACTCACCAAAAACCAATCAGATCTAGACAGCAGGTCATCTGGAGTAGCTGATCCTATTTTGTGCGGTAAAATGATGAACTTAAGTCAAAATTACTATGTACTTTTGTTTCTTCGCTAGTGTGGCGAGGAGGATCCAAATGCTGACATTCAAATAAAATGAACCAAGCACACATTGCGTCAGTGCAATTAATGCGGATAATTTCCGCATTAACAATATACGCATTGTTTTGTTTATAACTAACTTCAACCTTATTCTTGGCTTGGCTTCGTTGTCCGAAGATTTAAGGATCCTTCCCTCTCCCACTGCATGCCCGCTGGTGGCTGACAAGTCCGATGCGTGACCGGCATACTCGGCCACAGTGGCTGCAGGTAAGTGACGAGTCTGGTGTTGGAGCCGTGACGGCGCGGTTCTTCCTCTTACTGCGTTTCTCTTCGAGGGCAGTTCTGCGTCTCCTCTCGAAGGCAGAGACTGAGTCATGAACTGTATGTCGCCAGGCAGCTCGGTCAGTGGCAAGAGCTGACCACTGACTATGGTCGATGTTGCACGAAGACAGAGATTTCTTTAGACAGTCCTTAAATCTCTTCTTTGGTGCTCCTCTGTTTCGGTGCCCGGTAGACAGTTCGCCGTAGAGGACAATCATGGGCAGACGATGGTCCTCCATTCTAGAAACATGCCCTGCCCAGCGCAGCTGTGTCTTCAGCAACATGGCCTCGATGCTGAGGACCTCCGCTCGCTTCAGCACCTCAACATTAGTGATGTAGTCAGTCCAGTGGATGTTGAGGATGGAACGGAGACAACGCTGGTGGAAACGCTCTAGAAGACGCAGGTGGTGTCTGTAGGTAACCCACGACTCAGTAACCGTACAGGAGGGTTAGTCAGTACCACGGCTTTGTAGACGCTGACTTTAGTGTCTTTCTTCAGATGCTTGCTCTTCCAGACACGGCTGTGGAGTCTTCCAAAGGCTCTGTTTGCCTTTGCGAGTCTGTTATCGACTTCCTTGTCAATCTTTGCGTCAGATGTGATGGTGCTCCCCAGGTAAGTGAACTGGTGTACAGCCTTCAGTGGTTTCTCGCCAATCTTGATGCAGGGTGGGCGGTACTCCTTTCGGGGGGCAGGCTGGTGGAGAACCTCTGTCTTCCGCATTAACAATATACGCATTGTTTTGTTTATAACTAACTTCAACCTTATTACATGTAACTTATATGACTCTCAATCCCTCAAAGTGCAAAGTCCTCTTCTTCTACTTTATGCGACACCTACCGCCGCCACCTGAGATTACAATTGGGCCTACACAACTGGAAGTCGTCAGC